GGGCCGCGCTGAGCGAGGCCAGGGAAGGAAGCTCCCCGACCTGATGAGCCTGAGCAAAGCAGCACCGTTGCGATTGCAGAGCGGGCAACGGCGTTACTCTGATTGCCCCGGGTGTGCTAATTCCTCTGCTGCACCGCCGCAGCAGTCACACGAAGTAAACTGTGGTTTCCGCAGCTCCTGGCCCAAGCGGAGGCCCCGGTGACCTGAGGGCTAAGGCAAGGGGTCGCAGCCGTCTGGCCCGGGAGATGCCGCTTCAGACGGTGCTGCGCCAACTTCTGGGTCAGCACCCCGGGGCCACGTGCATTTGCAGTCGCACGCCTGCGCGGACTCGCTGCCTCCCTCCACGGTTTCTCAGCAAGAGCCGCAGCACCGCTCCGGCAGCCTCGGGCGCTTCGACGGCTGCAGGGAAGAGGAAGCAGCCCCTTAGGGCAACGCAGCTTCGTGCCGGCTCATCGGAGCAGCACTTTTGGAGGCGATGCTGTGCCCATCTCCAACCCTGGCTCCGATCAACCAACACCTTCCCCTCCTGCTGAGTGCCAGACAGCCGCTGCCCGTCGCAGCGCCTGAGGGGGCAGCCCCGGGCGGAGGGGGAAGAGCAAGGGCCAGCTCTGGAAGTGGCATAAGAGAGGGCAAAGTATGAAGAGAGCCTTGATGTGCTGCAGAACAGAGCAGTCTCATGCAGAAGCCAAAAAGCAGAAGAGTTTGCCTGGGAACTGAAGTGCTGGCTCGAAACAGGAGAACAGTGGCACTTTGGTCTAACAGGAGAAGTTTCCTGCGACAGGCGTTCCCACGGGTAACCGTATAAACAGAGCGAGTGCAGAGCAGGGTCATAGGAGATGGCTAAAGGTTGGCCACTGGGATCCTCAAGGCTCCCTGTTGTAGTCACTGCTTAAAACATTTATTATAGTCAGAGAAGAGATGGAGCAGTCAAGTCACAGCATTTGCAAATGACAAAACTAATTATCCAGAGAAGATGCAGAAACGTCAGAAGCTCCGCGTTAGGCTAAAGGACAAGGGGGGGGAGGGAGGGAGGGAGGGGAGGGAGGGAGGGAGGGAGGGAAAGGAGGGGCGTTAAGGATGCTGTCCACATCAGACCTCTTCCTAGCGCAGCAAAGCGGGACGGGGATCCTGGTATAGCTGCGTCTGCTGATGAGTGCACAGAACAGCGCTGCAACATTGCTAAGAGCGATTTTCAAGGAAATAGAAAAACACTGCTGATAAAACCATAGGTGATATACATGCGGGAACTGCAGATAATGTAGAAGACTATAAAGTGATTTGTGTTGTTTGGTAAGCCAGATCCAGCCAAGGAAAATGTATATAAATACTTCAAAATGCAAATTTGTACCTAGGAATAGGGAGCACACAACACAGCTACAGAATAGGAGACCAGCCTCGAAAGCAGGGCTGTCAGGCCAGACCGAGGCAGGGTATTGAGCAGGAAAGCAGGCATGACCTCTCAGGAAAGCGCTGTGTCAAAACGGACATGCAGGTCTCCAGACGTGGAAAGAGGAGAGTTAAGAAGGCAATTTGGGGAACAGGGTAGGTGGAGCTGGCAGCGACGCTGGAAAGCCACCCTGTGAACCCGGGAAGGCAAGGGAGCAAACCCCGGCCTCCGCACCAGCCCTTGCGCAGCTCCAGAGGGAGTAGGAGAGAGAAGGCGACGAGGTGGCAGCCTCGGTGGCAGGTACCTCCACAGGCAGATGCAGAGGGTACCAAAGGGCTCTTCAGACAGGGAGAGAGAGGCACGGGTGAGAGCTGAAGCACAGCAGATTTTTGTGGAATTAGAAAGCCTTTTGTACAGACCACTCACAGCAAACATGGGAATCTTTTTAAAACATGGAAGAGATTTCCCATTGCTGACAGCAGCCACAGGGATATGAAAGGAACCGAGGCTGTCACCCCTAACACAGCCTGCGGCAAGCAGCGTATGCTTGCCAGTAATAGATGCACCCGCTCTTCACAAACAACGGTCCTTTGCTGAAGCATGGAGTAGTTCCTCCCTATAAAAGGCATGGATTGCTACTGTTGGTTAGCATAAGGAAAATCCCCGACATGCCTATGACCTCTGTGTATGCTAGACAAAGCTCAGAGGCAGGATTAACGTTACAAGTGCAGTTGCAGTCCTAAGTAGGAACCAGTCTAAAAGAGCGCAGTCCACTCCGAAGACTCAGTCTTCTTGTTGCCAAGTAGTATCCAGCATCGAAACCTACTGCCAGAAGTAGCCTGAACTAGTAAAGGGTGCAGGGTTTTACAGGTTTTCTTCTGGAGCGCGTAATCGCTAGGAGCATCAGGTAGAGCACAGTGGCTAGACTGTAATAAAGGAAAGCGTGCCCCAAAGGCATAGCTTTGTGACTGGCTGAGCCGTCCTGCTTTCCTCCTCTCCTGTTTGGCTAGCTCTGGCACTCAGGTGACTCACCAGGCAGGCACGCAGGTACCTAAGCCATGACCAAGATAGAGGGAAAAAGAGAGGGAATGATGGCTCTCTGCAGCAGGACCACACAAAACCACATCTTCTTCAAGCTCCTGAGGGTAGCACCATGGAAAAGCAGTTGACTACACTCTGCCATTTGTAGCTTTCTCTGATAGATAGCAGCTTCTAGTAAGCCAGCCACGAAAAAAGGCTTCTAGCAAGCATGCCAGAAAAAAAGGAAATGTATTTACTCCTTTGATGTCACAGAATTATCTAGGTACTAGATAGATTCTGCAGAGTTACTGATTCTTGCAAATGCAGTCACTGCTGTTCAAGAGGAAGCTGCATAAAAGCACAACTTGTAGCTTCTGAAGCCTGCAAACGACTGGCGTTTAAACCTAAGAGCAAACCGATAAGGACCAGACAGATCATCAGTCCTTGGTCTACAATGCACTCATGCAGTATCAGTTCATAATAAACAAGGTGATCAAATACGATAGCAAAAGGCAATGGTGTCTCTTTATGATAGTCAAAATACTTTGTCACTCTGCAACTCTAACAGCCAATAATCTCAAAAAGCATGCTGTATTCTCCTCTGCATACTGGCTGAATTTCAGCACATCATGAAGTTGCTCATACAGAATCCCACTTCTTGGATAGTGTATCCGATAAAGCTGTAATTTTGAATTGCTGCTAAAAAACTAGAGAACCACAGGAGCTGCAATAGCTACTTTATCCAAGCAGTACGAGCACCCATAACCAAAACCAAAGTGCTCCAGCAGGCTCCAGGATCCGGATGTGCTCTGAAATGAGATAGCCTTGCTTGCTCTGCCTTAGAGGTTTCTGCACTACAAGCAGTTCCTGCTGCCATTTCCTCTTGCTGAACACATCTATAAACCTTAGTAACAGCTTCCCTTACCATTCCCGTATTGAAATCTCACACAGTCACAGGTTTTTAGTCTCCTCCTTTAAAGCAAGTGAGAATAATCACTTCTAGCATACATACCAGAGAATGCAGTTTTAGCCTCTTCCTCTGCTGTTACTGGACCTTCACTTTTCATCTCATACGTGCCTTCTCGTTACATGAGCTTTGAGCAGTGCTAAATCCCTCCTTCCCCATCATCTTTACACGCTCTGTTATTATCTTCAATTTTCTCCTAGGGAAAG